TCCTCAGGTCTGTTTCTTTGCCAGTACCATGCTGTTTTATCACAGTAGCTTTGTAGTATAGTTTCAAGTTGGGGATTGTGACACCCCCTGCCATGTCTCTGTTGCCTAGAATTGCTTTGGCTATTCTAGGTCTCTTCTTGTTTCAAATGAATTTTTGGATTATGTTCTCAAGGTCTGTGAAGTGTGCTACTGGAATTTCAATTGGGATTACATTGAATCTATATAGCAGTTTTGGAAGCATGGCCATTTTCACTATATTGGTTCTTCCTACCCAGGAGCAAAGGATGTCTTTCCATTTTCTGAAATCCTGTCATCCAGCATTTAGGAAGCTGTTTAGCACTGGTTGAACTGATGTCAGAACGAATTCCTTTTTTCCCCCCCTCCTTACACTAGGAAGATATATGTCATCTTCATTCTGTGTTTTCTTATAGGAGAAGCTCTTCTTGAACTCTCTTCACTGCATCTGGAAAGAAGACAGTTCAAAAGTAACTCTCAGGCATAGCTACTAAACAAAAACTTCTTGTATGTCCCATGGCTTCCAGAAATTGAGAAAGTCTGGGCCAGTACTTGTGCCCCTCAATGTGTTAGGGCTTATATACTTTTCCATGGGATTTGCTGCTAAGATACTTAACCCAGCCCGAGGGCAGGGAGAGTCCAAGCTGATGGCTCACGGAAGTCTGTTTATTCACAATGAGCATCAAACACTTAAAATTCAGAAAATGACCAGATTTACCACAACTGACATTTTTTTTCTTTTAATGTTTAGCAGAATGGGTGCTTAGTCAGTGAGTGAGGTAAGTTTTTAGACCTGGAAAAAATGTTTCTTGTTAAGTATTTTCTAAAAAAGAGAAGTTCAGGATTTCTTTCTATAGTTGACTGTTTCCTTTGTTTCCCTGATAAGTGCTCTCACACATTTTCCTAGTTTAGTTTCTGACCTCACTGTAGGGAGCATCAAGTTCCAAGAATCTTTGACTGTGGTCTTTTTCTTTTTTATTTCTTTCTTTTCTATTTTTTTTTTTTTGAGTAATCAAGAGTGCAGTTTTTGTTAGCTTTAAAAATTTAACCAGAGTAGAATCCTAAGGATGGGGTGGGGGTTTTAAATCTTCAAAAATTAGAGTATAAGTTTGGGAAGAAAAGAAGTAAAGAGAGAAAGGAAAGACAGAAAAGAGACAGAAGAAGAGCAAAAGAAGTTAAAGTGAAAAAAGGTAAAAACATATATATATATATATAAAT